TCAGACTGGCGGATGCGCAGGCTGGTCTGTATCCATGCTGGTCGCAAACGCATTATGCTGGTTTTGTCATGACGCGGCTCATATTTATACTTTCAGCTCAAACAACAGGCGATTATTTTAATTTATATACAGTACTGCTTTACCGTCGCGTTAAGGTATAAGGGAGAAAAAAAAACAACACTTTTTATGATGTGTTACCATGCCTACTATTTAGTCAGGAACTTAGTTTTTAAATATTATCAAAACCATTTAAAGCTCTCTCATAATTATAGTAATTCATTTTTACGAAATATTATTTCGTTTGTACGAACTAACATTTCGTTTGAACGAATTAATATTTCGTTATAACGAATAAATTTTTTGTAATAACGGATTAATATTTTATTAAAACGAATTAATTAAGTCCCGGGAAAAAAAGTGTGGAAAATATCACCTTACGGGCTCCGTTGATAAGAAAACATATATACAATATCTTTCTCATTTCCTTCAGAAAAGCTGGTGCGACAGTATGGTAGTAGATATCAATACATAAGTAAGAACAAGCCCTTACTCTTGAATATTTTGATTTATTTTACAAAGAATAGAAAGATTTGAGGAAGGATATGAAGTTAAAATAATCTAAAAAAAAAACGATTTTAAAATTACTTCACTTTCATTCGCCACAAATCATTTAATCCACTATCCAGAAGTTTACAGCCAATCGTTCCATTTATTGTCATTATTTATGATTTCTATTAATGTATTATATAATTGTGTTTGTACATCTTTAGTATTCAAACGTTTTCAACTAGTCCCTTTATACCGCGATCTCTTGTAAGGATAATATCTGTGGTAGGTGCATGTGTAAATATTTTTATGTTAATTAGGATGCCTTCATCTTGTTTAATGTGAATTCGACACCTCCCGCTGCATTTCCCGTTTTTGTCCAATTCCATATCAATACCTTACTGGGTAGATATCATTTTGGAGGCTGCGCTCCGTGAATATTTCACTCTCCCATAACAATCTTTACTCTTGTTTCGTGAACGTTCGCTCCGATTGGCGACATAGATTTTTACTCACACAAAGGAATTTAAAAAATGATTTTGGAAATACTCAATCTTAAATTTCCTGGAACCATGGTAACGAAAGGACATCTCAAGATTGCCGAAAATCTTTTTTTTTTTTTTTTTTTTTGCGTTGATGTTTTTTTCATCAAAAATCATATCAAAGTCCTTAACCTCCACAATGGTTTCAACGTTGGTTACACGTTACCTTAAGGTCGACCTAGGGCCATTTTAGCCTTTCACAGATCCAAATTTTCTAAGAGATGATGGGGTCTACTGACCCCCTCAAACCCCCAAACTGAAGGGGGCACATCCTCCATCTGGCACTCCCTTGATGTATCTATTTGATAGAAGATGGCGCCGAAAAAGTGATCACTTTTTAAACCCCAATTCTCAAAGTGACATTATGCCTATCCAATAGTAAATGGTTGGTGTACATGTCGAAGTTAACATAACTTTAGATTTTTATATATTAATTGCTCTCAATTTTCAATAACCCACCTGGTCCACAGAAAATTCTATAAATATCCTTCGAAGTATAATTATCCTAAACATTCAATGGGACATACTTTTTATATTTTAGGCAGTTGTTATATTTTATCCTAAATACTTTTCATTATCAATTATTATTCAATGACCATTATAATATTCAATCTGTTTAAATATGTAGTCTGTTAAGCTCAACTCGACAACAACGAAATAAGCTTAATGTCACTTCACACGAAAACAAGTGTTTGGCGGTCTATACATAGTGCATTTTTTCACCATTTGAAGCCTTGGGGGTGGGGAAGAAGTAATCACTAGTCAATTAGTTTGATATAATATAGAACAGAACAGAAGGTTTATTTAGTCGTAAGCATGGTACAGCATATAGACATATACAAAAATATATACAAACATGTACATGGCAATAATATTCTTATATAAATACACATTTTATCATATCATATTTACGAGAGTGTTGTATTTTAAACACGGTTAAGTGTTAACTCTTGCCGTTTGTTAAATGCCTTTAACAAATATAATGCGATGTTATGAAGTAAGCGTTTGTTCTCTGTTTTCATAAGTTCAACAAATTTCATCATACTAGGTCTCTGCCTATAATATTTTGGAATAAATTTCATACGTATATCTTTAAATATGTTACATTCCAGTACAAAATGAAATTCATCCTCAATTGTTAGCTTATCACACAATTCACATAGTCTATTTTGTCTCTCAATATTCCTGTGTCTTCCATATTCGATATTAAGACAATGCGACGACATTCTTATTTTTGATATTATTTGTCTATGTTTAAAATTATTTATTTTAATAAGATACACAGATAACTCTAGACCCTCTTTCAATTCTCTAAACAAAGTCAAACTTGGGCTATTATCCATTCGAATTCTACATTCTGTAATAAAATTGTCAATCAGTCTAGTTTTTAGTACGTGTAAAAATACATTCATATTAACAGATGTTGGAAATAGCCAAACTTCAGCTAACCCTAATTGAGTCAGTAACATTTAAACATTATATAACCAATTTTTTCACCATTTTCACAATCAAACAACAGTTTCTTATATATGTTCTCTAAAATACAATTTTCACTTTTTACTATTTTCAACCAGTATTTTACAATACGCATTTTCCAGTTTACATGCAATGGAAATCGGCCTGTTTCAACATAAACAGCAGCATTACAAGTTGACATTTTAACATTTAACAGTCTCTTTAGGAATTTTCTATGACGTCTCTCAAGACATTCTGCATTATTAAATCCCCATATCTCACATGAATAACATAATATAGATGTCACATATGCGTCAAATAAATTGAATTTAATTTTCACCGGTATTTCCATACCCTTCGTTATCGTATGCAAGGAGTTTACAGCTTTCAAAAAAAAAAATTCTTCTTCGTTTATTGATATCAGCTCAGTTTGCATATATACAAATACAGGAGCAAAAACATTATATAAATAAAACATACAAAGTCACAATGATGAACAGCATGCAATATCTCAGAGGACAACTTAAATCATGAGATTATATACGTTAACCATTATATAATATAGTTAGCTATCTATTACATAATAAAAATGCGTAAAATAAACAGTACAGGAGAAAGTAATAATAATAATAATGACTAGATCTATATATATGAAAATCAGTTTCAGAGGTAGTATATAGTCTAGAATTATACTACTTAGTAAATTCTGAAAGAAAAAAAGGAAAAGAAAAGTATTTCTTTTAATTTGTCCAGAGCGGAATCGAACCACAGGGAAGGAAGACTTTATCGGTCTTCCATAGTTTACTTGTGTTACTAGTTACTGATTGGTCAGTATCTACCGTTAAAATTACGTCATATGTAAGATTTGATACGGGTCACTCCCTGTTTGTCTAGCCAGGTGTAAGTGTGTTATTAGGGCAGACGCTCGTGTTTACATTTTAATGGGTAAAAGATGCATGTGTTTTGTGTTACAAGTACCAACAAAAAGAAAAAAGTTATTATTCAATATGGATTTATACATTGTCCAGCATGATTTATACATAATAAGCTTGAGAGTTTCACAGACTTTGGAGATAGGTGAGTTTACTGTACATGCATATTTATCATTTTGTCAGAGAAAAGGAAAAAAAAAGGGGGTGTGACTTTTCTATAATAGTTACGCCGTTATTATGACACGAGGCATTGCATGTTTTATATATAAAATATTGTGGAACGAACAACAATATACATGTGTATTTACAAAAATAACTGGGAAAAAAAAATGTACATGATATCATAATAATGATGATGATTTAAATTGAAAAATTGTTCAGCTTTGCAATTTGGTCACAATCATTTTCTACAGAATAATATGTCTTTTATGCTTTAGTACTGATCTATATTACTCATATATGTAAAAGCAGATTTGAAACATGTAAACAAAAATAAGTAATTGAAACACATGAGGCATTGCATGTTTATACATAAAATATTATGGATTGAGCAACAATATACATGTGTGTTTACAAAAATAACTGCAAAATGTACATGATAATAATGATGATGATTTAAATTGAAAATTTGTTCTCATATATGTGAGAACAAAATAAAGACATGTAAACAAAAATAAGTAAATAAAACACAGCATATTGTATACATAGTTATGCAAATAAGCATAAATGAGTTTTAACTGTACATTCAGGTTACATTTCTTGTAATTATATTGGCAAACATATACATACATATTTGTTATTTATATGATTTCAATGCTTTGCCAGATAGAGTGTCTATACCACGTTTGAATAGTCCATTACTAGAAACTACAAATCCTAGATAATTAAAACTGTCAACAATCTCTATATCATTCCCAAAGTATGTCCAGTGTTCATTTGAATGCAATTGTCCTCTCTTTTTAAATACCACGATTTTCGTTTTGTTCGTATTTACCGTTAATTTCCAACGCCTACAATAGTCATATAATAAATCTAGATGCGATTGCAATCCTTCTGGCGTATCACTTAACAAAATACAATCATCAGCAAATAAAATAAGGTAAATGCATACGTGATCTAAGTTTACACCTGAGGAAATATTTGATTGTAAATGGATTTCTAGGTCATTAAGGAAAAATGAGAATAAAATCGGCGAAGTTATCTCCCCTTGAAAAAGTCCCATGTCACAGGAGAAGAATTCAGGCAATGAGTTCATATGTTTGACACATGATTGTACTTCTTCATACATTGATCTCAATAATGTGAGCATTTTCCCACTAATTCCTTCTTTGATGAGTTTATACCATAGGCCATTTCTATAAATGCTATCATATGCTTTTTGGTAGTCTATAAAAGCTGCATATAAACGTTTGTTTTTAGTATTGTACATATTGATTAGAGACTGTAAAATGAACAAAGCATCAGTGGTGCTGTGTCCAGATCTAAAGCCAAACTGCACATCTGTTAGACGTTCATTGTCTACTGACTACTTTTTTAGCCTTTCGTTTAACACGGTTGTAAACAGTTTACCAAAGCAACTTGTTAATGTTATTCCACGATAGTTATTTGTATCCGACGCCGGCGGCTTTTTCAATAATGGAACTATTACACCCTGTGACCATTTCTTTGGAAAATGTCCGCTGTTAAGAATGTCGTTGAATAAAATTTCTAATGAATCAATTACAATATCTATCGTTTCAATAAAATACTCATTTATCATACTATCTATAGCACTACTTTTATTTCTTTTTAATTTAGAACATGCTTTCCGAATTTCTCCCTGTGTTATAGGCAAATCAATGTCTTCTAACGGTGTTCCATTCCTCATATCATTCTGGTCAAAACTCTTCAAAAAATCCTCAACTTCCGGATTGACGTCATCGCTAGCCTCAGCTAGATTTTGGAAATGCGAGTAGAACTCTTCCATAGAGATATTTTCACTTGCATTTTTATTTTTAGTACGAGACATATTCCAGAATTCGCGTGGTTTTTTCCGCCTCATTTCATTCATTTCTCTAGTCCGTTTTAAATTAAACTGCCTCTTCGACTTTTTAACACAATATTTATAATCTTTTCTACATTGCTTCATATTTGTAAAATTTTCATTACTTTTTTCACATGTATATTTTTCAATAGCCTCTTTGTATGTCTGCAGTTTCCCGTTACACACATGGTCAAACCACTTATTTAATTTACGAGGTTTTCCGTTGAGAAAGTTTGATTTCTTCACAGACGGTGACGTTTTTTTTTTTTTAAATATTTTTCAGCTCTGGATACAATAAATTCCGTGTATAATTGTGTCTTTTTATCAGTCGAATAATTCGCATTTTCCACGATATCATCGAGCACATTTTTATCCGAAAAAATTTCATTCCTGAATTGTTCTCTGAACTCCGGATTCCATTTATAGTATGTATTCCGACCATTATTTGTTATGTTATTTTATTGATACACTTTTAATCCAAATGAAACAGGGGCGTGATTCGAGTAAACGGTATAATTATGTACTTTAAAATCAACAATGTATTCGAAGTTTATATAGCGGGTCAATACTAGATCAATCATGCTTTCTCCGTTATGCGTCATACACGTCATATTTCCGTTATCACCGATTGACCTTGATCTCCCGTTGACCAAACAGATATTTACCGTTTTACACAGATCAAGGATCAAATCCCCGAAACGGTTATTTTTATAGTCCATTGAGCGTCTGGGACATGGGGTATCGTTTAAGATTTGATTTAAGTCTAAGTCTGTGATTGATTCATTTTCTATAAATATACCTCACAAATATAGAAATAGTATTCTGACTGCCTGCATAACGTAGTTGGTAAGGTTATTTAACTATTTAATTTCTTGTTAATCATAATTATTTTGCCTGTAAGTATTATAAAACTGCTTTATTTCTTGTATATATTTTATACATGTTTCATATACTATTTGAATTATCTGATTTTTTATTTTATTATATAAAATGGCATTTTATTGCGTTACATTTAATTCCATGTCTTTATTACACGATGTATAATTCTGTTTAGACTCTTCGTTGTAGTGTTATTAAAATAATAACGATTGGTTTTGCTATCGAAAGTAAATGTATGTCCATCATATTTTTATTTATTTATTTAAGTCTCAATAACATATATGTACATATCAATCAATATAAAATACAAGATAAAACAAATGGCATACATATATGAAACCAATCAAATGTTGATTTGCTAGAGACTATTAAAAACTATACATTTTCACATTCTTAAAAACTCTATCACATATTTTAATGACTACTCACTTAATGTACATATACAGAAAAGAAATGAAATGAAATGTCATCTGAGTTTGTTCTTAATCATAACTTTGTCAAGTCAAGATCTTCAAGTATTCATATTTGAGTAAAGTTAAAATTCAAACTACTCTGTCTATCCCATAGAAAAAGGCTGAAAAATTCAATCATAAACATAATAGTTCAGAAAATTGTCATGTGCTAAACTGTATGAAGACCCAAATATTCATGTTCTATAACAACAGTGGTTGTGTCAAAATTATGACTTGGCATTGTTTTGTATAACCAAAAACAAACTCTCCTTATTTTACGGTTCTAAACTATATTAATTTCTTTACCATATATATATACACATATTCTAAATGCTATGACCTAGAAAACTCTATGACTCAAAAGTCCGTGACAAATTTTATAGCCGGTTCATTTTTAACGCCAATAGAAAATAATCCACACATATAACCATTAAGTTTATTATTTAACATTACAACAAATCATTTACAAAAAATTGACCCTAGTTACTTAGAAATTTTCAGTATTAACGACATTGGTTTGAGTTGCCGGCGCACGTCAAATAATTTACATTTTGTTATGAATAGGCTGAAATTAATTACGTATATTTCAAATATCTGATGATGTGTCTGCACAATGTCACGTTGACTTCCTCTGCTGCTATGTTTAAATCATCCTTGAAAATTTTAGTTAAATAACTTAAAAAACGAAAAAGATACGAATAAATGAAAATATCTCATATAAAATGGGAAAGTTAAAATGGCGACGTTCGAAGAATTTGCGGCGCAGTGAACATGTCACTCAGGTTTCATGACTATTTCGAGATGACACATGTAACGATTTTCAAGAAATATACCAAATATAACAGTTTAGCAACATATTCTGAGCATTTGTGTACAAAAGGCATGAACGAAACAAGAGATTTGCTCTACAAAAAGCGAAAAAAAAAAGGAAAGCACGGATAGGAAAGCTGATCTTCGTCGCCTTTTTCCTACAGCTAAAAACAGAAGTAACGAGACCGGAAGTTCGCGTATAGCAAAAATTAATGTATGCCATCAAAACATTCAACAGACATTAACAACCACATGATTTAAGTCAGAAACTGACGATTTATGGGTACCATTATTGCGTTGAAAGCCATTGAGAGTATTTGAGAAAGGCGCCTTATATAGATTTAACGCCGTCTTTGACGTTGGACGTGCGCCGCGATTCAGTTAGTTGCCATGGTGTTTATGGCATATTTTTGTTGTTTGTTGATATTTATCTCTGAACATTTGTGAAAATGTTGAAATTATATGGGTTAATAACATATTAAAATATCAAATATTGTTTGTTTCAACATACGATGTAAGTTTCTCATTTATCAAAGAACAATACATTTTGTATACAACAGGTGTAATAGAAATACCACGGTATGAGAGAGGGTCTTTTGTGTTAGTTGTAGATCCTTTCGGAATAGGGTTTATAATACTTTTGCCCCATGCTTTTGGTACTTTGCCAGTGTTATAACAAAAATTGAAAAGCACATGCAAATACTGTGCTAAAATTTCATTTTTATAAACAATACTTGGTATTTCATCATATCCCATTGCTCTAGTATTTTTAACATTGAGAATAGCTTTTTTAACATCAGATATTGAAAATATTTCCTGACCTGCAATACTATCAGTATATACATTGCTTTCATCATCTGAATTACATGTATATTCAGCATCCACTGCAGTATTAAGTAAGTTATAAAAATCAGTTTTCCACTCATTTAATACTAAAGCAGGATTAGAAACACAGTTCCCATCATCATCCAAAACTTCATATCTCCCTGCGTATTTTTTGTAAAATCGACAACATTTTCTACAAGGCAAACTATCTACACCTTCAATATAATCAGACATATCAGATATACGTGCATTAAAGTCATCCATAATACAAAATTTACCTAATTTCTGGTACTCATATATATTGCTTAAAAGCTGGTCAAAATAATCATGTGTATCAACATATCTTGAAGAACCCATAGGCGGCAAATAGCAACCACAAATATTAAACATTTTATCATTACATTTTGATTTAAAACTCAACCATAAAATTCCCTCATAACTTTTATCTAAAATTTCAACATTAAAAAGCTCTATCAGTGATTTTTTTTACAAAAATGCAGACTCCACCAGAACCACTTCGTGCATTTGAATGAATAGTTTTTCTATTATGACAAAAAAAAAGATAATCAGATAGTTCAATATTTCTATCACCTGTGAGGTGTGTTTCAGGAATAACAATAATATCAAATTTTAATTTATCAATACTGTTTGCTCTAAAAATAAAATTTTCTGAGGAGCCATTAATATTCCAACCATTCACATTCCAACAACCAACTTTAAGCTAACAATCATAAAAGTCTATGTTAAAATGCTGTCTCTGTCTTCTATCTTCCCTGTGCCTGTGGTTGTACCTTTTATCTACGGAATGCCGTTAGGGCCATTGCCTATGAATGTGTTGATCTGAAACGCGATAGTCGATAGTACGATGGTGAAAACGCGAAATCACGAAACTACGATGGTGAAAACACGATAGTACGATGATGAAAACGCGATAGTACGATGATGAAAACGCGACACTGTACACTGTTCGTACGTAAACTTGTCATTAAAGTGTACTGCTTGTAGGGATAATCTTTTCCAGATGTTAGCATCTTTTGGAAAGAAAAATATGCTTATGGAGGCTTATAAGCAAAAAACCAATCCGTCTGAATTGACTAGATGAGCTGATATATGGACAGCAAAAATGGCAATCTCCTACGCAGTGGTCTCCCCTTATCAGTACAGAGATCTCTGCCATCACAAACATTGAAATATCAATATTTGAATACTTATATTTTTTAGCTTTTTAATTTATTTTTCATTATTTTGTATACTTTTGATAATTTTTTGATAATATATGACGGACGTAGGTTCAAAAAGTTAAAAAAAAACAGAAAGAGAAAAAATGACGTTAGATTTTCTATGTAATGTTCGATATTTACATTTGAATTTCGACGTTACGTCATGTGACTTTCATCATCATGTGACGTCTGTGAAGGCAGTGATTACAATTCTGCCAAGGAAGGGAATCACTGTGAGGAGTTTGCAAAAATGGTAGAAAAAATAAATAATGTGAAGTCATCCGAATTCAATTTACAAGAATAAATGTTAGAACTATTGTTAAATTTCAAAAAGTCCGTTTTCTATTTGTGAATAGTTAAGCAAAACACCATTCCTGTATTCTCATTTTCTCCATTTTATGTTCTTCTCTGTCAGAGGGTATTCCAGAGTTTTATCTATAGTTTGATTTATATTCGCAGCATCCTCTAAACATTTTAATAAATGTTACACGATATACGCTATAAATGCAGACGGTACAGCAGACGCTGCCGGAAATGAATGTTGGAGCAGACGACAGAGACTAGTCTCGTTCCGTTCTCACAGCGAATTGAAACTTGTTCAATATTTACTACGGACATTCAAAAAGATAGAACGAGACCCTGAAATCTTTGAGACTGCCTTTATTCATTTTAAGTTTTGAGTTTTATTACGCATATATCGGTAAAGATACTAAAATTTGTTTAAAATTTCATGTACGTTTTCTTTATTTTTTCAGATTCCTTTACTTTTATAAAAGAATTCTGTAAGCTTACACCTGTCTAAAAGGATGTTAACTGTACATGCATAATGTTTGATTGTTTT